ATCAAACGTAGGCTCGAATAGCCTAAAATTGCCATTTTATAGGCACATTAAGGGCACGCACGTGTAGACATGTGCCTTTAACAAGCCTTAAATTGGGCTAATACACACTGTTCTACCACTGTAATCCTTCCTTCAGGTCTACTGAACCTTTCTGAAGCCCACCTTCCCCACACAAAGAATGCTTTCAGATGGTTTTCCTTTCCAAGTATTTTCAGCTTCAAAAGCAAGTGAGTAAAGCGTAGGACCTTTAGGGTTAAGTCTAATCTCTGTGGACATGCATCAGGACAGCAGCACAACTTTCTAAAGATAATCTTCTCATTTACTAGTTTCATACATACCATGCAAAAAGTGATGTCATCTACATCAGGGGCTTTTGAAGACTGTAAAACATTCAAGAAAGTTTGAAAGCAGAGACTCCTGTAAGATTCATCTAAGTACGGCTGTCCAGGAACACTAAAATGGAAGCAGATACAGCCAATCAATCAGTAGATTGCAGGATAAAGTTATACAAATTAGCACACTAGCACAGATCTAGCTTTCCCCTGAGGAAAAGAGACCGTGGGATAAAGGGAGCGCATTTTGGCTCTTACAAAACGAAGAAGCTCTACTACTAGGAAAGCCATGTGGAAACACTAAATATACTGGTTAGGATTATTTGAGTGTACCTTGCATAAGCCCTAATTCTGTCTTCTCCTTCCTGATTAAAGCAGAGTCCTGTACTTGGCTTGAAAAGCTGTGTAAGTCATACAGACATGCCTGGCTGTTTTAACTATTGCCAAACCTTGTTAAAGAACAAGGAGCAGAAGTTTAAAAGAAAAAAGTGAGTGCTCACATAATAAAATAAAAATAAACCATAACAGGAGTCCCATTGATCTTATAGCAGTAGGATCTAAAGACATGAAACTGAGATCTCCCATCAGTAATACAATAGTGTAAGAACAGGATCCATGCTTTAGCTGTGCGCTGATGCAAGATGTACAGAATTACATTAACACGAGCGAGATAGCTATTCTTTTTGCCCCACCCACAGCAGGCACAGGTCCCGCTGCACAAGTGAAGCTGCATGGCTCTCACTTGTCACAGGCATCAATTAGCACTTAAAGGGATCTCAGAAAGATTTAGGATATTCCCAAGTTTAAAAATATTATTGTTTCAGGACATTAAGGTGGGTCTCCCTTTTGTGAATGGCCACCTAGTTTGCTTCCTGTAGAAAGGAACTGCTAGACACTTCAATCTCTGCTCCTTAGATATTAGCTTGTTATAACATGGCCATTAGTGCAGTGGCTCATTAAACAACCTTTTTTGTCCTGGGTGCCCAAGCAGCTGGTGCTAGGATATTTAATTACCTCAAGTTGCCAGGATGCAATTTCAATAAAGTTCACAAGACTCGAGCATTGTGAGTGATTTTCCCAAACTGCCAGAGGTTGGCCATACTTTGCTCATTTCTAAATAGATCTGGTCTCCTCCAGAAGCCCTTTTCATGGGTTGCAATCAGCAAGCTATTAAGCCTTCCTTCATAATCACAGAACTCCTTAGAGAGCAGACCCAAACTTTTTTAAACTGATTGATTATTCAGTCTGTGTCATAGGCAAAGAAGCAAAAGTTTTCTGTGTATTTCAACAGTGTAGTGAAGGATTTTGGAGTCATTACAAGTCACATCCCCAGCACAGGAAGGGGAAGTATGACTGGGGCCCCCTGACATCTGCTCACATAAGTCCCATACTCATTATTAGGACCATAGATCTGTGTTGGAAAGAGCTGCATAACCTGACTTATTAACATAGTCCTGAAATCAGCACATGGGTCTTGCATTTGCTTTTTGTGGAAAGGGGAAAAAACAAATCAGTTCTCAGTGCTCCAAAAGGCTCTTCTTTTATAGCCTCTGTACCAACCACTTGGAAATACTCGCATAATACCTGAGACACAGGTTGGCCATGCTGTGCACTGCTGCCCTCCGAAGATCCCAGTCAGTCTGACATGGGCCACTGAACTGTACCAGGAGTCCGTTCTTCCCCAGCAAATCTGGGAGGTACTGAAACAAACCATTAACAGTCGTTATGGGCCACCAAGATCCAGCGTTCCATCTGGCAAATACAAGTCAGTTGGTAAATTCCCTCCTTACTTTGGAATATCAAACAAGTAAAGCTGCTCATTAAATCCAATGCCCAGATATGCATACACTAAACACAGATTAGATTTCACGGTGAGATTCAAGCAGAATTAAGATCTGCACATCTTCTGAAGAGACAATGTTCATTTGCAAAGTTTTCTTGTTCAGCATTACAAAAGCCACCGACTGTGACCAAAGTTAAGATCAGGTTCTAATTTGCACTTAAACAGGGATTCAACCAGTTTATGAAGAGGGCATCTTCCCCACACTTACAGCATTTGCTCTTCAAGCACAGAAGGTGTTTCTGATCATGTACAAGCAAATCTATCACTTTTTAAATTAAAGTTAACTTAGAAGTGTCCTTGAAGAAATGTAGCTCCTGTTTCCATCTTTTCTTTGTCTCAAAAGATCTTAAGAATGGATTAACCCAGGCAAGTTACACTTTCCATGTAGTTAAAACTAACTGAACTCTTTGGCAAAAGCTGTTTGAAGAAACAGGTTGCAATTACACAAAGTTACTAACATGCGTTGCATCTAATTACTATGGTTATACAACATAGGCTCCCAGACAGAACCAAGTCAATGGCTCAAGTACCTGTTGGCTCAAGTACCAGTGGTGCCATTGTGACCACAGAAGTAGCTCAGCTAATCACCACAGTGCTTCCTCAGCTACTATACAAGCAACAGTCCTATTGGCTGCAATAAGTCAGCGGTGTCATGAAGACTGCCCATGAATCATGAGTTCTCGGCAGTAGATCAAACAGCAGCAACAGTCAAGCATCAAGTACAGGCCAAATAAAGCATTTGAGACTTCAAGCTAACTGGCATCAATGCTTGACGTGGTCCTCAGTGCCACTGCTTAGAGCTCAGTCCCGCTGCTGCATGATTCTGAGTTCCTGAGCAATTTGCACAATCCAAAGCTGCGCTAGACACAGAAACGTGCCCCTGCCACAGGGAGCAGGTCCCCATAAAGAGGTGGATCACATCCACTGCCATAGCTCAAGACCAGCACAGGAAGGGAAAGTATGACTGGGGCCCCTTGCTACCTTGCCCTCTAAGCAAGGCTACATGTGTTTAGTGCCAGGGTGCCTGGGATGGGAAGAACCTGCCAGATCTCCCCAAGTCCCTGTTTGCACAGACAGCCTCATGCTCTTGCAGCTGACAGGGGCAAGGGAATCTGGGGCAGGGAGAATTTTCTGCCTGTACCAGGCGATTCCTGCATTGCAAATCTGCAAGGGGTGCCACAGTGCATTCACACTGCCTACCCCAACTCCTACTGCTTGCTCACACAGAGCTGGGAGCCTACAGATGACTTCTGATACCTGGCACCTGCACACGCACACACACACACGCACGCACACACATTAGGCTGCGCTATACCCTATTTCTGTTTTCACAGCAATTTTCCTTTTTTAGTCTTGTTTTCACTTGCATTGCTAATAGGACAAACTCCATAAGCGGCACTGCTTCGAGAACTCATACATCAGCACACAGGGAGTCCTTAAAGCACATAAATGCAAGGGATTTGACACAACCTCACTACACAGCCAACTGAAAATTGCTGGCTGGTTTAACTGTACCTTTCTTACCTAATACATCTGGGGTAACAGCTCTGGATTTTGTTGCTACATAATGCTCAGTTTGATGAAAATTCCAACATCCTTGAAATACATTTTACACTTCAGTTACAGATATGATCATAAAAGGGAATTTGTATCAGGAGCACGCTTCCCCAGGAATAAGGCAAGCTCTGTATTTCTTCTGGAGAAAAGGAAAGGATTTGAAATGCTGGAGACTGCTTGAAATACATAAATACATTTCACAATGCCGCCAACCTACCTTCTGACATTTAGGTCCATTATTGTAAACAAGAGTTGCTAAGGCTTGCAGAATCTCAATGTGTGTCCAAGAGCTACACTGTTTAAGCGCAGAGATGGAATAGCCGAGAAGAAAATCCAGATCCTGCTCATCAGCTGAGACCTGTCATCAGAGAAAGGTACACAATGAAAAACCCGCTCTTGAAAGATATCCTCATTATCCTGCACAGTGTTGAAATTTGGGAATATTCCTCTAGGGAGTACTGACCCAAATTATGTAGCTGTTGCAAATATGTGCTGCTTCAAAAGCAGCCTGCATTGAGGAAGTAAGTGTCTATGAAATTCTTGAGAAGAGAAAGATTTTTTTTCATCTTCCCTAGCCTGGTTACATGACACACAAAGGTTTAAATCAACTCAGAAGCTGAACACATGTGGCTCTTACACCAGCAACCCTTTAGCCATGCGCCTCTAAGCTACAGCAGCTGATGAGAAGAATGGCAGTACAGAACCAATGATAAAGCAAAAGTCCAAGTGCATTTGTATGACGTCCTCCCTACTGTCCCTGCCCCATGGAGGCAAGAGCCTCTTTGGTCTATATCCACATCTAGTGGGAAGGGTAGGGACAGAACCAGATCTTCCATACCTGAAATCGGTTAAGTAGATGATGAATAAGCTGAGAGACTTTGCTGACAAGATGCTCCTGGTTGAGATGAACCAGTTGGCAGGCCTGAACAAGTACAGAGCAAACATCCTGGAAAAATGAGAGAAAAGAGCAATTTCTCACATAGATGCTTCACGCTGTAAGCTGCAGAGGGGAGACCAACCCACCTGCTAAAGCCCTGCTGGCCAGCTGACCCCGTCTGCTTGGAACACCTGAATCCAGAGAGAGCCCTACTGTCATCTGTGAAACTGCTAAGCAGTGCACCTCTCCAACTATACTGGGCTGCTTTACAGACAGAGGCACCTACAAACATGACTCCAACTGCAAGACCAGCCTCCAGACATGCAAATCTCCACCTAAGAAATCAGCACCGGAAAAACAAAATTTTAAACCCAAAAGTATATAAAGGCAAAAGAATCCATGGAACAAGGGACACAACACAGCAGCACTGCCTAAAAAAAAATGTATGGTTATCTTTAGTGTTTTCAAAGTGAAAAGAAAACCTATGACACTTCTGGGAAAACCGACAAGGAAAAGAAAAGGCAATCCTATAACAGTCCTGGCTTAATGGTGAAGTGGCACATGAGATATGATATACCCCTAATGTGTAGTTACAACATCCCCCTACAAAAGGTTGCTAACACACAGCTGATTATCAGCACGTCAGCCAAGAAATGCTCCAGTAAGGGGCTAACAACCACGTTAACCGTGCCCATCACTCTCCCGCAGGCACTACACATAAACCAAGGATGCTGTCACCAGGAGCTGCTGATCCTGCCACGTGCTTCACGCTATCGCACTAGTGTGAGAGTGATGCTCTAGCCACGATGGTCCACAAATTATGTGAGGGGCAACAGACCTGAGGAAGAACATCCTGCATCCAACAGCTAACTCTACCCCAATGACACAGTTTGACCAAGAAAAGATATCACCCTAAAGGCCCCTCTACATCTTACAGATAATGTGCAATTTGCTGGTCAACTGCACAATTAACTGAGAGCAGCTCCACTTGCAAAGTACCCATCATGCCATAAATAGGTCCAACCAACTATAACATTAGATCTTGACAATGTGTGCTAACTTTATAGCTGATTGCTAAAAAGTTGATATATATATAAAACTATATCCAGTATTAATTTGCATGTATAACAGGCTTCCCCCCCTTTGGCTGGGGTCCCATCAGCTGACCGGGCTCCCAGCCGCAGGGGTGCACCATGCCCAGCTAGGCCTGGGAGTCCTGCAACTGAGGGGACTCTCATCACGGCAGCTGCCAACTCGGGGTCCCAACAGTGCCCCCAGCATCCCGCAGCTGCCGACACCGGGTCACAGAATCATAGAAATTGAGGGCTGGAAGGGACCTCAGGAGGTCACAACTAGTCCAATCCTCTGCTCAAAGCAGGACCAGCTCCAACTACATCATCCCAGCAAGGGTTTGTCTACTCAGGTCTTAAAAAGCTCCACGGATGGAGGTTTCGCATCCTGTTCCAGTGCTTTAGTACCTTCCTCATGAGAAAGTTTGTCCTAATATCCAACCTAAACTTCCCCTGCTGCAACTTGAGCCCATCGCTCCTAGTTGCATCATCTGCCACCGAGAACAGTCCGGCTCCATCCTCTTTGTCGGTGGCGGCGATCCCTCACAGTCGAGGAGGATCACTCCCACGGGTCAAGTAAAGGGTTACAGATGAATCCGCTGATGCTTAAGAAGGCCGATCCTTCTGGCAAATGCCACAGGTGGCATCTCTTGGTCTTGTTTCCTTTCCTTCTGTTTCCAGCGTGCAGATGTTGGGTTCAGCGTGACTTGTTTTACACGAGGAGGCTGCTGCACATCAGCAACCGCACGGATCTCAGCAGAGGAGAAACCCGTGTCTGGCGACAAGGAGATCCAAGATGACCAGGGTCACTCTTCCACCGCAGCCTTCATTCGCCTTCGCGGCCACTGAGACACAAGCCATCTTCATCTGCCTGCTCCAGCCATTGGGGTCTTTATGTTACGCTGGATTGATCTTCATCTCCTTTGACCGCACCGCCACGGGAACGCAAGACTCCCGACAGTGTTGCACTTGGGGTCATCAGTACACGCCACCCTCCCCACCGCATCACGGTGACAGTGCCTGGAGGGGATGCTCTTTGTAACCCCCCTGCAAGTAAAGGCGGCTATTCAATCCCACCCCCTCAGTCTTCTCCTCTGCAGCCTAGCCCTGTCCCCCAACCGTTTTCATCACCCTCCACTGGACTCTCTCCAACGTGTCCGCATCCTCTCCATAGCAGGGGCCCAAGACTGAGCCAGACGTGGCCTCCCTGGTGCTGAGGAGAGGGCCGCAATCACCAAGGGCCTAGGTCACTCCCGGCCCCCAGGTCCTGAGACCCCTGAAGCACGGTCACCTCAGTGTGGAGGCGGGGCCCACGGGCCTGTCCTGTGGTGTAACCCCCCGCCCGGCCCCGCCTGGGCCCGTGAGGCCGCGGGCGCTACCTGCGCGCTGGGCCCGGGGGAGGCGGCGGGCCCGCAGCACTCGCACAGCAGCTGGTCGAAGAGCAGGTGCAGCTCGGCGCGGAGCCGCTCGGGCCCCAACGCGGGCCGCAGCGCC